GGTCCGTCAGCAAGTGAGGATGGCCATCCAGGGTCACCCCGAGGGATCAGAGGCAGGTGACACCTCATGGAAGATAGGACCGCACTGGGGTTGCTGGGTTCTGAGGAGAGAGAGTATGATGGCCTTGGAGGAAGCAGGGTCCACCCAAGCTCAGGCTCTGCAGAGTTCAAGGAAATGTCTGACCAAATGCTTAAGGAAGCCTTGTAACAAGTATTTAGAAGAGCCGGGCAGCAGCGATGCTCGAGTGAGTTATAAGACCTCTTCTGATGGCCAAACTGAAGGCAAAGGAGCACTGCTTCTGTGGACCACGGAAGACAGCAGAAGCCCCACAGATGCAGGAGGCATCCAGCAGAAGCTGCAGGGTAACCAGGCAGGACAGGGCGAGGACGCTCCAGGGGCAGGACTGGCCTCCCGTTGGCCTGTGTGCAGATCCTGCAGGGCATCCACGCTGCGCACTGGGTTCTGTTTTAGGGTTCCCCAGCCTCCATGAGAGGCCCAGTAAAGGTTTCTATGTTCCATAAAAGAGGAAACGCTACTACCCTCACATAAGCACTATGATTTGCACATAGTAGGTTAAGTCAATAAAGGTTTTATTAAATTTTAAGTTGAATAAAATTGAACATTATCTAAAATTTAGAATCATTGAATTTCAAATTCAATTTGAAATTTCTTTTAGAGATACAGATTTCAACATATCATAACTCAGCATTCACCTCCAATGGAAACCTGAAGTCCTGTTCTGTAAATGCAAAGTCAGACCTGAACCTGGATCTTGGGCACGCCACCAGCTGGCTCTGTGACCTGTAACGTGATTTCCTCATCTGCAAATTGGGTGCAGCAGCGTGCATAACGTGGGCTGTGGCTCCTTTGCGCATGGCACAGGGAGGGGATTGACTGAGTGCCCTCTTTCCCTTCCCTAGTGCACCATAACATAATGTGATATTTAGAATTTTAATTCAGGCAATTACTTAAGTAGTAATTGCTATTTGTATTTACATAGCTGCTTTGATCCAAAAAGCTCAAAGGGCTTACTAAATTTAGCATTTTAATAAATGTTTCATTTGCATTCTGTTGATTCTGTTTACCCACACCCCAACTTGGAATTTTCTAAAGTGAGACAGTCGACAACTTGAAGGGACAGGGCTTCAAGGTCAGAACCTGCCCAGCCTGAGTCTCATCTGTGTTACAGAAGGGGTCATAACTCCCCAATCCCCTGGAAGATAGGAGAGCAGGAACCTGGTGTGCCTGYTCCCCTCCAGCTTCTGCCCGCCGAATGCATCCCCACGTGCTTCTCCAAGGCCCTGACGACAGAGGTATGTTTATTGCACCAGTGAATTTATACGTAATCAGCACAATAAACATTATTAAATTGTCAGGAGAAAAATCAAAGTAGGAAGCGCGGCACCAGTACTGAATTCTAATGATGCTGAGTGTCCGCGGCTTCGCAGGGACAGGATCTTAACAAGCCTTGATTTCAGCGCTGGCCTCCGCCTCCCAAACCACATGGGCTGCTCCTGCCTTAACACTGCTGAATATTGATAAACGTCTCTGCCCCGCGCAACAGGGAAGTGGGTTTCTATTGGCAATCTTTCCCAAAGTGTGCTTTTCCCCTTCTCTGCACTCAAGGGTTTACCCTGAATGATTTAATTATAATTTTCCTTGTGTAAGATAAATTAAAGAGGAGAGTAGGAGTGGCGTGCCAACCACATTATTTATCTCCTGAACAGATTGCTGCTCACCAGACCCCAGAGCTGCTGCGGCAGAGGCTGCTCACGGGAGACGCACCAGGCCAGGGTGGGGGACTGGGGGGGCAGGAGTTTTCCAAATGGCAGGGAGACTTGCCACCCGGGTGCCACGCACATCAGACACACCACGACTCTAACCATGCACCCAAACTCTCGCAGGACTGCCTTTCCCAACGAGTTTCCCCACAGAGCCACCCCAGGCGGGAGTCAGTCGGGTGGAGGGGCGCTGGGTGTGATGTTCCACGAGAATGGGGCAAAGAGAAAGCTCTGCCACAGGAAGTGGAGGCAGGGCTCTCGAGGACCCGTGTTCACAGGAGAACTATCAAGGAAGGGCCAGCTCCCGGCACCAGGGAGGACAGGCCCTTGGGGACAGCAGCAGGCTTTCTCCCTTTCCCTCACCATTTCCCACTATTTAAGCCGCACATCACACATGGGACTTTTAAATTAATCACAATAGGGAATATTCATTTTAAGTACCTATGTACACACAAAGCTGGCCGACGAATAATTGGTTTTTTAAATGATCAATTCTATAAGCTTAAAAGCGTTGAATTATCTTTAACTGAAGGTGTTCTTGGCCTTCCTGGCTACAGCCAGTGAAAATGTGCTGACTGGGGTGGGACAGTGGTACAGCTCAGGGGGAGAGTGCGCACCAGGCCCTGGGCTCCAGCCCCAGCAGCAGAAACAATAAAACACAAGAAACTGCACTGGGGAGGACTCTCTTTGAGTCTGGCCACATTGCCTCTAAGCCAAGAGAATCAGGAGATGACGTGATGGAGTGTCACTTTGTCGCTGTGTCCTCCCTGAGCACACAGCTGGAACGCCAGCCTGTCTTTACACCCAGGCGCAGGCTCCCTGGAACCCGAGCTCTCTTCCGACCCATGGTCTAACTCTGCCATGTAGCGAAATGGAGACACGGAGACGAGGCACAGTGTCCATGCAGGTCCTGAGAGAAGAACCCAACCAGCAGAGCATCCTAGAACCAGTGTCCCTCGGAGCCACTGAGCCTCCAACGTGCCTTAAGACACCCACCTATCACCTGGCTGCAACTACACTAGGAGAGAACTGCCAGGGGACACCCCTCGCCCTCCCGTGAGAAGACTGCAGGGAGACCTCAAGTGCACCCGTCCACACTTCTGAGTGCCAGGCCTCCCAGGCCTGTGGATGGAGATGCAATTCAATTGTCCAGCAGCAAATGGACCACAGCAACCCTAGGATGGGAAAAGCAAGTCCACCAAAGGGCAGCAGCCCCAAGCCTCTCCTTTCAAGCTACCTAAGACTTTCTATTTAGAAAAAATGATGATGATGATGATGATGATAAAGACATGAGGGGAGATGACGAAGCAGGGATTCAGGCCACCTTCCGGCCATGCGTGTCTTTCCCCACTGCAAAGGAGAGCCACACTCTGGCCAGCGGCTCCAAGCAGCCTCGCCCTGTGCCCCATCCTGTTCCTCAAACTGTTCTCAACTAGTCCCTTTAAAGCATCTTTTAGTTTTTGACACCTGCCGTGGAGATGTAAACAAGGAAATCTTACAGGCGAGTCCCAAGTTCTGGTGGGAACATATTTATTATTCTCATTTCTGCTGTTTAGGCTCAAACATAATACCTGTGTGTGCGTGTGCATATGTGTAGCTCTGTGTCCCTGACAAGGGATGCAGTCTGAGAAATGTGGTCATTGGCCCCTTCGGGGGTGTGTGAACATCACCAGTGTACTCACACAGCCTACCTGGGCTACGTGGGGTCACGTGCGCAGCACAACGCATTGCTCCCAGGCCCACAGTGCATGGGTTTAGCCCAGGCACAAGAGAAAAGACGCACGGGAGACGGGGTCAACATGAGGTTTGAGCCTGCCGCTGGCTAACATGATGTACTATTCACTGTCAATGATGTCTTTTAATAGGTAGAAGGAGCACACTCTAAAATGGTGATTGACGAGTAAAGCAGAGCAAGTGTGTGGACCAGTAACGGCACCACTCATCACCAGCCAGGACTGCGCGCGGGTAACTGTATGTGTGTTGTGTGTACATGACTGGCGTACACTGCTGTTGACTCCGGTGTCCCCACAACACCCAAGTAGCGCCCTGTGGGCTGGCCCCACATGGCCATGAGGCATGGGGTGGTAGGAATTTTTCCCTCCTTTATAATCTTATGGGACCACTATTACATATGTGGATCAGATCTTGACTCTATATATTCTGATATAAAGATATGTACCTGATTACACCAGTTGCCTTATGATGCTCAACACCATGAGAAAGATATGAAATAATGTTTGCAGCTGCTTAACTGAAATATATAATTCATTTTTTTATGGAGTCATTGCTATTTAAGAACAAAATCCAGAACTTGCTTCTTCCTGATGGAAGCAGCATTTACTATCACATCCTGCTGTTTAGGTCTCCTCTTCTATGTGTGGAAGCTCTCTGTGTGTGAAACACACAGGAAACAGTTTAGAAAAGAGTAAGCTGGAAAGAGCTGTCAATCTTAGGGGCGCTCTCTGCTCAGGAAAAGCACCCCGGCAGCTCGAGGAACATGCCTGGGCGGAAGGGACCATGGCAGGGATCAACAGCTTGGCTTTCCTAGAGCTCCTTGTGCACATGACATCCTCCAGGCCTCCGAGCCAACCTGGGCTTCCATGAACACACATGTTGAAAACTATGAACTCATAAGCTCAGGGCAGGAAGGCAGCAGGAGTGAGGCGACCCTATGACCACTGTGCTGAGGAAGCTTGTGTGCAGATACAAGGCCACCTGCACCCCTCCAGTCTCACGCCCCCACTCAAGGTCTACACGCACCATGTGCTTTGGGGACACACTGAAGGCAAAGACGGGCTTCCCACCTTTACAAGGGCAGCACAGCCTAAAGTAAGTCCTGTTTCTCAAACCACGATGCGAAATCGCCCACAGCAGATGCGCCTGGTACCAGCAGGTGCTCAGAGCCCAGAAACTGAGCTTGACCAAGGGGAGAACTTGGCAGACAGAGGACCTGGAAGTCTTGACATCTAACCCAATGAGACACTCCAAGACTTCTGCCTGGCCCTAAGCCCGTGAGATCTACAGCCGTACTAATTCCACGTTGAAAAGGTGAAAACAATTAGATGCTCACACCCACACCATAATGAATACATTGTTACGTAATTACAGGCATGTTCAAGACACACTGATCCAATTAGGGAGCCCTGGGCCAGGTGGGGTCAGGCCACCTGCCCTCCCAGACCACGGCCAGCCTTCTGCCGGGCCCAGGCCCCTGCCTACCTTTCCCTCTTGGGCGTGTGCACCGAGAGCTGGCCATTAGTGGAGGCGTGCGGGTTCATCACCAGGGAGGCCTTGGCGGGGGCGGAGGAGGACACACAGGTGGTCAGGTCCAGGCTGCTGGGGTTGTTGCTCGTGGCTTCTTCTGCAGTGTGCACACCCGTCACCTCCTTCCAGAGCTGCTGCAGCTCCGTTGGAATCATGCCTGAAACAAACAAATTGGATAATTAAATCAATTAACAGCTAATTCCGGCCTCTTCAAACAGTAATTAAATCAAAGAGTCAGTAAACAAAGCCTAGTGTTAGGGGTTTTTTTGGTGTGTTCAGTTCTTTTTTCCTCCCCTCCCCACCAAGGCAAACACGGGAGCACCTCCTCCCAGGAGCTGCGGGCGGAAGGGCCCTCATCACGCGCAGACCAGGGACAGGGGCCCAGCAGCTACTCTGCCACAGCAGCGCCCGCCTCCCTCCGCCCAGCTGCTGCTTCCCAATTTCAGGAAAAGCCTGAGGACGGCACCTTATCTCCAGACACAAAGAAGGGCCCAGAATGAAACTGTTCAACTACATTCTTATGACAATGCGGGCCACAAAATGAATAATTTTTGTGCTTAAGTCTTAAATGATGACAAATAGCTTTGTTATTAAATATAGTTTTTATTAATCACTTTTAGACATAAATTATGAATTCATATCGTCTTCCTGAAATGCTTTTCAACTTTTAACAGTCAAATTGATTATACTATGATTATTTCATTAACACACCTATCTTCCTCATTAATTTTGGTTTCTCGTACCACATGCTTAATTGATGGATGTGTCTACTGAAAAACTGTATAACTTTTTACACAAGTAACACTATTATTACTGTCATTTCTTAAATCAATGCTAATGAACCATCGCTGAATGAAACGAAGATGTAAAATAAATTTGGGGCAATAAAGTTGTTCTGTTTTGCAAGGGGGTCAAAGTGGACATGGGTCTAAAGGAGTGAAGTGGCGCCGGTATTTTTCCCAGGAAGAATTACAACCAGGACACACCCTGACGATCCTGGACTGGTGGTCTACCCTGGCAGCAGCCCCTGTGGCCCAGCATGCCCAATTTCTACCTCCATGCATATTCCAGCGCATGCACACACGCAACCGCAAGCCTCCATCAGAGCTACCAGCCACCAGCAGCAGCCGCTTCCTCTGGAAGAACCCCAAAAAGAAATCACACCTCGTCAGGCAATTCCGCCTTAGACTCAGCCTAGTGGACGGCTGGTCATTGTTTCCACCCAGCATAACAGCCAGCGGGCGAAGCCGGCCATTTTCTGGGTAAGTAGCAGGAGCCGAAAGAGGCATGTTTCTTACCAAACTGAAGGTATTGAATTAAAGGAGAAGGCTGTGTGCATTATATTCATTTGAAACACATAATAAAAAATGCCAAGGTCTAAATTTAATTTATTTTTGTCATTTAGAATACAATGGAGAGATAATCATCTCAACGTGATCAGCCAAACATCTTTACTTTGCTAAACTGTTAAAGATTTTAATTATGCCAGCATTGGAGAGCGCTGGTCTAATGAGGCGATGGACTCCAGAGAATCCGAGTGGTTAAGAACTGTGAAATGAGTCTGATAGGATTTTTTTATATTCACCGTGGATCGTTTGCATATCAAAGAGGAGTAAATTATTGCACAGCAGACCAATAACCTTCCCCGCCTTTCCGCCAGGAACGTTAACAAAAACAGTTGGTCTCTCCTATCGGTTCTTCGAGAAAATGTTCAAATGCCCAACTATTTGCAATTAATATATATCATAAAGGCGGCTTCGAAGGATACATGAAGTGGTCAGATGTTCCTAGAGCGCATCCTCCACAGCCGAATCCGTTTCCTTCCCCCTCCATAAAAATCAAATGCCAATTATATTTTGATGGATTTTGTCCCAAATGAGCATTTAGTTATTAGGCATATTCAATTATTACTTGTCCCCTGAAAATTAAACCTCAGAGGCAAATTAAACAAAGGGAAAGGCCACTATACCATCCCTCGTCCGGTTTTGCTGCATCTGGGCTATTATTTTCAAACACTTTCCCAAGTGACAGGTGGGACGTGCCAGTACCTGGTAAGTCCGCCTCTGCAGTCTGCACACCAACAATTACCTGCGAACATGGCTGACCCTCAGACCCACGTTCGCTCAACTGAACCAGCAGCCCGCGGGCTTGTGTGCTGATAGTGTGCTCACCAGAACCACATGAATCCATGCCTGTTTCTATTCTCTTTTGCAAACACAGGAAAAGCACCAACTGCCTGTTTCTCCACTCAAGTGAGTTGATTTCTGGGGTCAGCTGCATGGGAAGGACACTGGTCTAAGGGCTGCGTGGACACTTCCCTCTGAGAACAGCACAATCCCAAAGCAGTCTGCAAAGTGGGCAAAGGCACTGGGACGAGGGCTCCCCACTTGTTACACCTGCAGGAGCCAGGGGACGCAGCTTCCTCCTCCGGGGGAGAAGGGTAAACACTAATGGGCTGCGTGACCACAGAGCTGTTTCTGGGTCAAATCTCGATGTGATAATTACATTTCAGAACCTTCTCATCGGAGCCGGCGAGAGGCAGGCAGCCCGATCCTCCAGCAGTGCTGCTTTTGCCAGCGACGGTCAACGGCTTGCTCAGCGAACTCTGGACACCCTCTACCAAGGGTGCTGGCCTTCCACAGCCCAGATCTCAAGACAGAATTAAGACAGGAAGGCAGGCGAGGAGTCACTCGACAGACTAGGTGGATATCCAACTTCTAGAGAGCCCCCATTTCTTCCAAATGATGGATTCATAGGACCAAGAGCAAACCCATTAAGAGGTACGTAACCAGCCCGCAGCTTCCCCTATACCTGGAGAGTGGGTTTTAAAACTTAAACGGTCAGAAAGCTAGTGGAAGAGTCTTTGTATGTGAAACCGCAGGTGCTCGGGAGGAGCAGAGCATGAGAGAACAGGTGAGACCAGGTGGGCGGACCCTGCCCACGGAGCAAAGGCCCCACCACAACCTGAAGGACAGCACAACCCCCTCCAGAGGGAAAAAGAGGGCCTTCAGAACGTGGCTCTCCATCCTTGTCCTCTCACACGTGGCCACCCTCAGCAGGCCCGCGGTCAGCCGTGTGGAAGTGCGCACGCAGGCTTCTCCATCAGCGGACATCCCGGCATTTTCGCCACCTAACTCCTGTGCCCTGGCTACATTTCCTTCCTTCCTTCCTTCCTTCCTTCCTTCCTTCCTTCCTTCCTTCCTTCCTTTTCTTTTCCCCAGGACATCCAGTCCCTTCATAATAAAAGAAAATGCAGGCGCGGGTTTAAAAAATGTATGTTGTGGGGACAGTTGACAGATTACTGCTCATGGAACTCAATTTTACCACCCCAGGTATCACTGGCTCAAAGACAAACAGAGTTGATCAACCTTTTTTGTCCTTGTACATCCATACCCAGGTGACCATGTTCAAGCAAGCAGAAAGTTGATTTAAACCTCATAATGACATCAGTTTTAAGCCATCATCTCTCTGATAAAAAGGAATTGTCTTGTAGTCCACACGACTGAATTCTCAGGCCTCCGTGGCTGAGGGGGCAGGGGAGACAAGCCCGGCTCCTGATCCACAGGAGATGGCAAGAGTGTGGCTCTCCTTCCTGCAAGAACTCGACTCCAGGAATATCTGCCCGTACAGCTGTGCCATCGTGGTGCACACAGGCACCCTCCAATGCCAAGCGAGTGCCCTCCTAATGTTGCAGGGGGTTCTAGTTACAGCAGACTGCTAAGCAGATCCATCAATGCCACCCCAGTGAATTACCTGCCGGTGTCTGATGTGGTACTGCAGAGATTACACTCCATGCACCACCACATTCATTTCTTGCACATTATGTATGAGCTTGTCTTGTCCCTGCCCAATTGCCCTCTTCTGGACAGCTTAACTGATATACTATAACAATGAACCTCGGAGAGCAAACTTCACAGCCTAGGAGCAGAGGGAAAGGGAGACAGGGTGAAGCCCGAGGCCAGGAGGTGTGTCCAACTATGACCCAGGAGTTGTGAAGGAAGCCCAACTGACACTGGGCAAAAGCTCACAATGCGCTAGCCCCATGGCCTCCCTTTCCCTCCTATGGCGCAGTCACCAAACCTGCCCCTCTGAGGGCATCCGGGGAAGCACTGATGAGGAGGCACCAAGTTGAACAGTGGGGTGCACAGGTGTGGAGGGCGAGGGAGAGGCCCCAGTCCACCTTCAGAACAAGGAGAACCCTCAGGGACAGAAGCTGGGTGTGGCCGACTCCACAGGAAGATTCAGATGCAGCCCCGCTTCAGCTTCACTGGCTCCACTCGCCAGCCACGGTCACCAGCCAACAGCCCCGCCTAAGAGGACACCAGGAAGACCCCACATTTCCAGCCTTCTTCAGATGACAACTGAGCCTGTGACACCCAAAGCTGTGGCCTGCTGCCTTGGAGACACACATCAAACCTGCTGAGGCTCGGAGGACCCAGGGCTGAGGAAGCCACTGAGGTCTGTGGAGCCAGGAACCACCCCCCTCCGTGTCCACGGGGCCACCTCTGGATGCCGAGACCCAAGGATGCCAAAGTCCCTTATCTAAATGGTGCTCAGCTTGCAGGCAACCCCGGCATCGTACTCACGCTGGGAAGTACCTCCAGGTCACTGACACCTACTRCAGCGTAACAGGATACAAACACTTGTTCTACTACATGGTGGGAACAAGGAGGATCCTGCACATGCTCAGCACAGATGCTCTCTTTTTAACTGAATATCTTCAATCCATGCTTGGTTGAATCTGCAGATGTGGGACTTACTAATGTGGCCAGCCAAGGACATGGGCACAGGTACGTCACCTCCTCTCTCCTCCCCTGATGACCACTTGCCTTCACACATATGTAAAAGCCAGAGCGGCTTAAGCCAACGCCCCGACTTTCCCTCTTCTTGTGATGTCCAATACCCTCGGGATGAAATGTCAGCGGCTTTGCGGAAGGAACTCATGAAACCTAGGAAACCTCTTCATTTTCAAGGAACCCACGTCTGAGGAAGAACTGGCAACAGAAAGGGCACCTGCTCTGAAGAGGGCGAGAACCTGCTCCACACCACAGGCCAATGAAAAAGGAGAGAGGGAGAGAAAACATGACCTTGATTCTCGCAACTGAACGAGACCGAGTTGAGTGATTCACAGGGGAACAAACACAAATTCATGCCTAGATATTTAAGAAATGGCATGTGTGTGAAGCACTGCTGGGTCTGAAATACAACAAGTTACATGACATAAAATGTGTGTTAACATGACTAACAGCAGCCTGAGAGGAGACTTCCTGGTTCCAAACAGAAATGTCCCCAGAGTTGCTGCAGTGCTCCCCGAGGGACCAATACGCACGATGCTCCCCCAAGTGCTCCTCTGGCCTCAGGGACCAGGCCCCCAGGACCTCCTGCAGCCTTGCTTTCAGTCTGCACACGCATGTCTCAGAGGGCCATCGCCCCCTCGAGGACCTGGGGCAGCCCCAGACACCTGGCCTCTCCGCCCTGAAGCCTGCGCAGGGCCGCCATAGAGACAGGGCCCATACCTTGAGCGAGAGGCTGGAGGGGAAGGGCGGGCTGCCCGGGCTGGATGGTTAGGAGGCCTTGGCGCTGCAGAGACAGGAGGTGCTGCTGCTGGAGCTGCTGCATCTGTAGGAGCTGCTGCTGGAAGGCCAACTGCTGGGTGGCCACCTGCTGCTGCTGCAAGAGAAGAGGAGACACGTGAGAGGCCATTCCCAGGCCAGGCCAAGAGGGCAGCACCCCAAACTCACCGCCATCCCCGAAACCCAGGGTGGCTTGGGCCCAGGGTGGGCTCCGCGTCAGCCACCTCTCAAGAGGAGCTGCCTCGCGGGAAGGCACTCCCTCTGATGGCTGTGCCCTCCACAGCGGCTCCCCCTGCAGCCCACCTCAGGCAGTCGGGAGCCAACCTCTGACCTGAGACCTGCAGTCACCCACCCCAGCCTGGGCCAGGGGCCTGGAACCCTGAGCCCTGGGGGTGCAGAGGAGCAAGGTGAGGCCCTCTCCGCCTGCACCGGCAGGAGCCTGTAACTAAACTACTCTGTTTATCACTCCTGACGTAAATAAATGAGAAGAAATCAGACCTTTGAAGAAGAAAAACTTCATCTAATATTGTTAATTAGCCATGACAAACGATGAAATAACATTGTAAATCTTTCATAGAAACAGCCGCTAGATTTTAATTACACACATTCATAATTTACCAAACAACACCAAGGCACTTGACTGCGAGTGCCGGATAGGAGCGGCTCAAGCTCAGGCGCCTCAACTTGACTGTGGCCTGGGAGGGCCAGGGCCTGCTCGCTGGACCCACTTGGCAGGCGCCTGCTTTGTTCTCAAAAAGAAAGGGCTTTAGGACACGGGCGAATCTTCTTGTTGATGGGTCCTGATAGGAGGAAAACTTCTGTTGTGTAAAACATCAATACAGCATTCCTGTGTTTAGCAGGCCTTGCTCCAGCCAAAAAATTAATGTAGATTTCCTCAGTAATTATCTCAGTGATAGAAAGATAATACAGTGCGGTAGTATAATAAATAGAAGGAAATTATCTAATATCCTTAATCTGCGAGGAATCATTTCGAGGTGGAGGGCCCGGCCACACCAGGGCTAACTGTCAGAAAGGGAAATTAACCCTTCCCAAACCGGGGCCAAAAAGAAGGAAAAAGAATTCCTCAAGAAAAAAAAAAAAATCAGACCTTTTCCCGATTCTGACTCACATTCAAGAGATCAGGGAGGTCAGGAATCGGGTGGGCTGCTCACGCTCACAGAACCTGCGTGTTCCCGTCAGTGACAGGACCCCCCACACAGGGCACTCACTGCCTGGATCTGGGCCCCCACCAAACGGCGTGCGCACCCAGACCTTCCAAGGCCAAGTCCAAAGAAGGAGAAAAATGGTGGCTTCCTTCCGGGCTCCACGTAGATTCTTCCACAGTAAAAACCCTCATTCTCCTATTAGCAACCAATTTCAGACTTACTACCATGCCACTGAGAAAGTTAATTGAGTTTCACTCCAAAAAACAAATTCTATACCACTAACAACAAAAATTTAAATAAATTTAAATGAAAAGCCCGTGTTTTCATTTTAAGAACAGCATGCATAAAATGATCCAATTGTCTTCACCCTTCCCACGTTATCACATTAATGTAAAACCCAATGATAGTTATATTCATGTCAAAATGATTTTTTTCACTTCTTCAACAGATATTAACTCACGACATTATAAGGAAAAAAGGGGGGGCAGGGAGGGAGAGAAGGACAACGTGGACACTACAGGATCGAGGACTGAGCCCTTCTTGAGGCAGAGTGTGCTGGGGGCCGGAGGCTGGGACGGGCCTTTCCTGTCTTACTGTAAATGAAATGTTTAAAACATCGTGTATTTATACAAAGTGACTGATGCCTTCTCTGTTGTCTCTGGCCATCCCTAGGAAAACCTCACGAAAGCTGTGCACGTTTGAAAAGCCAGGATATAAAAGTATACAAGGCCCATTGTCCAAAGAAAGAATTTAAAAGCAACACTGGTTGCCAGACTTTGCTCCCCACCCAGTTACCAAACACAGGATACGAGTCCGTTTGTTTACTTCTCACAATTGAATGCGCACAAAAAAGGTCTCCGCGCAGTCCCCCGGCAGGTCAGTGGGCAGCGTTAAAACGCAGAAGGGCCTGATAAACCCTGCCTTTCGGATCCCCTCCCTGCGCGCCAGTCAAAGGTCTGGTTTCCCTTTCTCGGTTACTCCCTAGGCCTAACATAAACCGTCATAAATGCCTGGGACAAACCGGCCTTTGAAAACAATCAGCTGGGCCTACCTCACCAGCACTGGACGCCATCTTTCTCTGTAGCTTGATTTCATATTAACTGGGCCCTCCATTTTCCACACCAGTCCCTTCCCCGGCTGTGCGGGGCTCCTCTGCCTCCTCCCACCATGAGCATCTATCTCCTGAGCAGGGACCTGGGTCTAACCCAGCGTGCAGCAAGGCTGCCCAGGGAGACATCTCCAGACCACCCGAGGCAACCCGAGGGCTCCCTGCAGGTCATCAACAGGGGGACGTAAAACTCACGGCACCAAATTACGTGCCACTAAGGAGTGGCTTGTGATGTGCTTGCTCTCCCTGTCAACCTCTGAGTTCAAACCCTCCTAAAAGCACGACCAGCATCATCAAATTGCTACCACGTGGCTGCATTTTGTTCACCACCAAGGGACCACCACCTGCAGGATGAACTTCAGGAGACCAGCCCCGACACCCCAGAGAAGGAGGGACCTACTGACCAAGTCCCACAGCACCAAGAACCGGGTCAGCACCGAGCCAGGAGACCCCTCCACTCCACCGGCCTCCGCCCCCCACGGGAGACTCTAGGCCACAACTCTCCTGGGTCACCTCTGCCTGGGAAGGGACCACGGCAGACCTGGCGCTGTGGACAAGGGGCAATGCCGTCACGGTGCATCTCCTCGGTGGACACGGAGCATCTTCTCCCCGCCTCCCTCCGTCCCTGGCGCAGCCATCACCCCCCTCTCTCTGCTCCCCTTCCTGACAGGAGCAATTTTGGAGAGTGAACTTTTATCCTCCTTCCTGCCCCGTAACTTTCCCTTTCTCGTTTCTTCGGAGGCCCTCGGAGCTCATCTGAACTTTCATGTTCTCCCAGCATGAGGACGAGGATTCCAAACTCTGTCTAACAGACCAAATAAGAGGTTAACAAGAAGTGGCAACAGAAAGGGGGAACACAGTCCCCGGTAACTGATAAGAATGACAGTGGCAGCCCTTTATTGTTTGTCTTCAAATATAGAGTTAAAGATCTTTAAAAAACTAAATTTTGATGCCTTTGAAAAGAAAGAAGCACAAAATAACAACAGGGGGTTATTGCCTGTGAGCCACAGGGGAGAGTCTCCATAATTCTTATTCTCCCTTTTGAAGGCTGTTAGAAATCTGATTCAAAAAAGCAACAGCAGAAGGGAACCCTCTCGAGGCTGTAACCATTTCCTGTGATCATGCATAATGTGCTTCAAAAGTGGGTTTTTACCAATTCTGTTGATCAATTGCCCCCCTTCACACCCCTTCTTTTTTCTGCTGTGTTTACATCTGATGTGACTCAATGACAAGCACTGTCTGAGACTGTGAAACAGGGCTGTCATGTTGATTTATGGGCGCATCAAACCACAACTTGTCCAAACTGAAGCTCGCAGTTCATTAATTAGAGAGTTGTGACTTTGAAGTCAGCTTTCAGACTGTGGTTTTTAACATTTGGCTTAATTTATATGCTCTTGAATGTGGATCTCTAAGGAAAAAACTGAAATTCCCTTCTTGTCTTTGAACTTCTTTTGACCGCACAATAATCATTTCTTTGTCCAGAGTGATGCCTGCAATCCCAGAGTCATTAACGCGCATTGAACTGCCACTGATGAGTAAGCCCTGCTGAATTAGAAAAACAGCCAGCAAAACAAAGCTGAGAGCCTTGTGCAGTGATATCTCACAATTACATGCCTTCCCTCCCTGCGCCATTTCCATTTTAATTACTGTTAGTCCTTTAGATTTACATTTTAGACACTTTTTAATCTGTTCCCTATTTTATTGCAGCAGCACCCGGTAGCGCCACTGTACTGAGGGTTGTGTCAGCAATTTCATTTCAACCCCGCCTCCCCTTCACCCCAAAAATGCCCCTGCTCCGCGGGGGGTACAGGAGGCTGCTGAGCAGGGCTCGGGCAAGAAGCTGGCAGGGCACAGAAAGCGGACCCAGCCCGCGAGAGGGAGTGGCTGGCACACGGGGAGTAGGTGACTCCTGGGTGCGGAARGAGTGCCACCGCATCTGTGCTCATGGGAGGGACGGGACGTGGGCAGTCACCTGGTAAGGCCCTCTGCAAGAACGGGAGTGGCCAGCCGCTGAGAGCAGCAGCAGGGAGGCCAGAGGAGGAGGTGGGGCTGCCTATGGAACCACAAGGAGGTGACCCAGGAGGTGACCAGCCACATGTAGGAGGAGGGGGGTGTGGGAGGAGGTGGGCTGGGTGGGCAACTCTGAAATGGGTCCCGGGTGTCCTCACCAAGTAGTCCTCCAGAGGGCGATGCGGAGCCCCAGGAGGGCCGCACCAGGCCTGCTGGCACCCACTGGGGTGGTGGGCCTCATGCAGACACCTGTGACCCCACAAAGCACAGTACAGAGAAGCTACTGTACCACGAAAACCCTCAGCCAGGATCTTGAGACCCCCGACTTCCCTGGGCCTCGGCCACTACAAGGCGGAGAACTGTGGGGAGAAGCTCAAAGAAGATGGGGACATTGAGTTTTCTTCCGACTCTTATTGGTCTGTCCAGCCTCACAAAAGCTGACTCTTGTGACAGAAGAGGCCATCGCTGTAAGGCCAGAGCCTCTGGAGCTGGAAAAAGAAAAATCCAGTGTCCCAGAAAAATGCCACAGACAGCGCTTCACCCCCAGCTCCAGCCTGAGCCRAGGGTGCTCGGCCCAAGACCCCTGTCCCGGCCCCCACACAGGTAGGCTCTGGAGCAGCACTGGGAAGATAAGTGGCAGGAAGCAAATGGAACCGAGGAACCTCAGACAACAGGACAATAACTCTGGGTCTGAAAGCCGAGAACCGATAGAGTCAGCTCAGTTGCGCAATCACTTAAAAGATGAATGACAGTTTAACAGCCACTAGAGAGTCCTCGGGGAGCTGCGGTTTGAAAGTAAAATACGTATTGTCGGTACCTCTTTAGGCTGCTTTCCAGCATGCTGTTGTTGTAAAAGTTGAAGCTGCAACTGTTCCTGTTGTTTTTTATAAAACTCTTGAAGCTGCTGCTACAAAGGAAAGAGAGGACGGTAAGTGACAGAGGGCAGTGCTGGTCCACTGTCCCTTTCGGTGCCGTACACAAACTGATTTGAAAAAGAGCATTCTTCTATCTGTAATGGGCTGACCTTTAGTTTGAAAGTCGACAATAAATTCCGCACACGCTGACTATTCTTGGCATTATTGTTTGAGAAGTAATCTCAAAAATGGACTGATGAAAAACATACCATTTTCTACACAAACTAATTAAAATAAGGCAAGGGATGACCTTTGAGAGTACAACAAAGCCAAGATGCCCTTGCTGAGAGAGTCTGGTGAGTCTCCAGCGCATCCAGACAGTGGGGGTGGGCAGCGCGGAGCGCCGGCCAGCACGGGAGCTTCCTGCCTGGGGCCCCTGCCACCCCTCGCCCGCCGGGGTACTCGGTCTCATCCCTTCGGCTCAAGTGTCCACGAGGTCTGAGCATCAGGTCCCCATGGCAGAATGACAGCCAGAGGCTCATCTCAACATGAGCGCAGACGGAAGAAGATGAAAAGTGCACCTTGAAATCAACCAACTCCAAAACGCTTCTTTGTATTACAGGGGAAATTCCGCCAGGGTCTGAGTTGAAATGGGGACTTCAAGAGCTGTCACAGTTAACCCTGCTCCCGCCGTGCCCCTCGCTCTGCTTTGATTCTCGCCATCCAGAAGCCTCTGGGCTCAGCAAATAAAAGAGTGGAAGCCACTAAGCCCCGAGACCTTTCTCCACCAAGTCCAGTGACAGCCCTGAGCTTGGTCCCAAAGCCTGGCCACTGTGGCCAGGCTGTCTCTCGGGGATGCAGATGCAACCCACCCCTCGGGGGCTGGTCTGCAGACTGCTACAGCCACCTGCCCTCTCCAACGGGAATGGCGGCCACTCCGCCCAGGGGCCATTCTGAGCGGGCATGGTGGGGGTGGGGATGGTTACCTGCTGAAGCATGAGGGCCTGCTGCTGCTGGAGGAGGACCTGGAGCTGCTGAGGGCTCAGCACCTGTTGCTGGAGGATCTGCTGCATCTGCTGCGGAGTGATAACCTGAGGTGTCATCATAGCCACCGACACGGGGACCTGGAACGTAACCGAGCGTGAATAGAGGCCAGGAAACCATAGCACGCTGCGTCCCAGGCCAGCGGCCGGCTGCCCCCAGCCTGCCCAGAGAGCTGACCACCTTCCCAGGCAACTCGGACTTCGGCAGAGGGACGCAGCACCGACCGCTGTGCCATCTCCCGTGGAGTCTGTAGAGGGTGATTTTTGTGGCACTAGGGATAGAACCCAAGGCCTCAGACACACTAGGCCAGCACTCGACCACTGAGCAATACCCCCAGCCCTGGAGTTTACTTTAAATACAGAAAAATGAGACCTTTCAGCCCTGATGGGGGTTCCAGAAAGTCTTAGAGACAGACAAGGAGGAGAAACTTAACAAATGCTATCCGGATCTGGGATAGAAAGAGCTCAGCTTCTAGTTAAGAACGAGTCTTCAATCAAAACGAGCTAGAGGAAGTTAACCCAAACTTGAATTTTGTATTAAGGGAGAAGGGACATAGGACCCCATAGCTTTGCAGCTGGAGTTATGGGATGCACTTCCTTTGTGCATAGCAATTTTCAGGACAATCAATAATTGCCAAGTCCCATTGATAAGGGAACCTCAGAGGCGCCCTCTGAACCTGGGCGCAGACCCTTTCCGTGACGCCTTCACCCTTCCTGTTCACCCAGCACACAGATGTCTCAATTCCTTCATATTATGTGCGAGACCATTAAAAGCCGCTTTCCATGACATTTCAGTGACAAACAGCTACAGTGATGAACTTGATAGCATTTCATATTTGCAACTGTTAACACGTTTCTGCACGGGCATCTTTGCAAGGAACCTGTACACTGGATCTGAAAGGATGATGTCTTGTTCAGATAAAACACTGACATTAAAATGACAGCCTGTCTTGGCCAAGGTTACACAAATTGTATTCAAGCGGATACCTAATGACAATGCTATGAATTCCGCGAGCTTTCTAGAATGTAATTTAGCTATTCAAAATAATCACTGCACTTGTGTTTAATTTGCAGACTACATGAGAACCATTTTGTCAGTCCCCGTAATGCAAGACTATTTCATGAAGAATCACCCCCTCACACACACACCCCAATGAAAAGATAAGAAAAGAAAACAACGAAGGAGAAGACAAAACCCGTATGTCTTGAAAGAGTAATATTTAAGCATCTTACTTCTCTTTGGTTTCTAATCAAACATGTGACAGCAAGAAGCAAGAGGCAGTAAAGGATATACTTTGTTAAAAAGGATCTGCTGTCATCTCATGTATTACAATAAAAGGTAATAACATGTTTTGCACTTTGCCTGTGTGCCACTTGAAAAAAATTCAGCAGACAATAGCTGATCAGAAGATAAAAGAATTAAAAAATCTTTCAGGGGAACAGTAAGCAAAAGGGAGAAATGCAGTATTAATTTTATGTAACATAATGTCTTAATGTGCAGTTTATCTTGACTCTCTCACATGATCTGTCCTGTCATTTGCATAGCGAGCTCTCATTCCTAATTTCACAGTCATTATGCTCTGATGTCCCGATTTCTCAGCATCACTAATTTTGATGAACTAAAAATGGTTCCTGAAGGTCAGATTCATGTACAGTGAATGCTCTGCACTGTTGCTGTGGGCATGTTGTGTGTGGGGGTGTTGACGTGCAAGTTCTGCATGTTTAGAAAACACTAGCTTGAATCCTGGGAAAATTTCATTAACCCGGCTCTGGAAGGTCATCCATGAATTCTTCCTATTGCAGTGGCCTTTTAAGTGTAGATGTAGATACACTGTAATTTAAAACAGATGGGCATGTCTGAATATTTTTATATGCAAAAAGGGACAGATGTATATGAATGGATAAATTATCCTTTTAAAAAGATAATTCGCAGCATGAAATACCACCAATGATCGGAACGGCGAACTTGCATTCAGTCTAGGGCAAACATCAAGATGACATTACCCAAACATCCAACCACCTACAAATTATTTCCAATTAGTTCACTTTGCCTTTGCCCAGAAGAAACTTTCTGGATCCTCAAATGCGCACGGGGTGCCAGTCACTGTCTGGGGCTGCTGAGGCCACACGTCACCTCACGGGGTTGACTTTTCCTTGGGAGTTGCATCACGGACCCGGCCAGGAGGTTCAATTAAGCAAACAAAAGAGCCATGTTTAAGGTTTCTTTTTTCCTCTGCGTTTCTTGGATGATGTACAATATAAATATTCTTGAGCCAAATTTCTAATGGTGATGAACAGGAAAACGCACAGGAATGGGTGGTGTAAGGTCTGAACCGACGGCGAACATGAACTTCACAGAGTTGTAACACAAGTCAGCACAGAAACAATCCCCTGGCTGTGAATACTCAAGAGATCTATGGACATCCTGTTAGCAAGGGGCCAGGGGACTTCCGGGGGCACTCTGACCAGGGTGGTGGTCACACAGACGCATGGAACTGACAGAAGAAGTCTTCTGCCTGTACCCTTAGTAGGAGTGCTGTGGGCAAAGGACACCTCAGTGAATCAGTTTTTTTAGAAGTTTTCCATATGCACATACATACGTGTAGACACACATGCTTGTGCATGATTGTGTGTGTGTGTGTGCATGTGTGTGTACGTATTCTGGAAGTTTTGTTTTCTTTCTAACTCTGGTAAAATTGCGTGCATCTTCTTGAATGAGGAATACCACTGTCTCTTGACTGTCAATAAAAAGGGGAGGGGTGATGAGGGGCAGAACCCACACAGAGAATTTTCCAACCTCACAGACAGCCCGCAGTTTAAGGCCCCCTTCCCACAGTTATCTATTAATCTTCTGCAGTTATGCTGCAGAGCAGTGGATTGACCCTCCCTTGCTTTCTTCCTCTGGACACTTTGATGGAGAAGCTGATGAGCAGCAAAACGCTTGGAGCAGCAGCCCAGCCCGGCCCATGGAGGGACCGCAGCAAGAAGCTGGAGTGATCCTCTACCCCAGCTGATGGGTCCCTGAGTGACCAGAAGTGGCCATTGTGTCCCAATGGCTTGAACTTGGCTTTTACTGTCCGAAACCACATTTTCTCACCAGTTAGCACCAAACCTCTAAAGGGAGGCTCAAGATTAATTTATAAATGCAATAAAACTGAGATTTCCCCAAAGTTTCTGCTCCAACAGATCAGGAAAGGAGGTTATGGGAAGCTTTAGCAAACATATTCAAATGGATCAGAAACCATGGTGGGGGTAGGGGGAAAAAAATCAGAGCACAGTTTAAGGCTTTAACTAGTTAAGAATTACAGCCATGTATCCACTGCCCGAATTCCCAGCGTCCAACTTTCTCATGCGCCAGTCCCCACTAATACTGGGAATCAAAGGGCACGCAGGACCAGCGACGGGCTATTACAGCCCACACTTTATTGCCCATTACTACTGAGGTCATTAGCGGCAAGAGTGATCGCAGCAGTCTTAACCTATTGATCACTGTAACTGCTATCATTTAATCCTGGGTTGAATGTGTGGAAAGCAGCTAAAGGCACACAGGAGAGAGAGCCTTGCACTGAGAAATATGGCCAGAGCTCAGAAATTACACTCTGATTCATAAAATCTAGCCAGTGGTTTAAATCAATAGTATTTAAAACAGTCATGTGAGTTTTTAACTACAGCGGTCTCATATTTACGGGCCCTTCTTTGAAAGTATTCAGTGAAAACGAAGCTTTCCTCTTTTCCAATCCCACGCTGGCCACCTTGCTCTCCCGGAGATAAACACGTGCGTTTCTGATGTTCTCAGAGCCACAGGGCCTGGTGCCTATCTGGCAGTTTAAGCTAATTTTTTTTTTCTTTCTCATAAGACAATTTAAATATAAGACAAAAAAATATATATATCCCCGATACTGTAACTACCTCAGCTGTTTGAGAATATAGAAATGAGTGTTTTATGAGTTAACAATGAATCATAGAAGGCAATTTATGAAGAACTAGAATGATTCTGTCTAGCTGCCTTCAGGGATCAGAAATTCAAATTAAACTCCTGGCAGACATTTAAAGAATGCTAGCATACAAAACTGAATTTAAACACACACACACACACACACACACACACACACACACGCGAGTTAACACTATTTAGTTGAGTTTCAAGAGGAAATCATGAATTAAAAAAACACACGGCATGATCCACTGTTGACTGATACCAGCTGGGTGTGGCGGATCCCAGGTGCACTGGGACCTGCGGGAATGGCAGGAACACCACTGTGCCCGGGCCACAGACCTCTGCTAGTGTGGGCCTGCTGCTCTAGCTCCAGAGCAGCCACGGGAGACTGTCCTCAGCCACCAACTGCTGTCCCAAGCCCCTGCACTGCCCAGCAAGTTCTGCCTCTGCAAGTCTGAAGGCCTGAGGACTAGTCACATAATGGGCCTTATTGTTGTCTTTTATCTCAGGGAGAGGCAGGTGATGGGAGGGGAAAATCTGAAAAGCAAACAAACAAACAAAAACATTGGAGAAACAATGCTTCTTTCTAATCTAGGAGACAATTGAAGGAATTGGGTGGGAGGCAGACGACACAATATCAATACTGAAAATAACATGTTATCATGTTTTTCCCTCCCTGTAGCTTAGGCTCCAGCTAAGAACCACAGGGAGGGAGGGGGAGAGGGAGAGCAGACAGACACACACTCTGCCCATCAGCATCTCCTCCTACCACTGTGGACAAACTATAAAACCAGGAAGAACAAAAATTTATGCAAGCTGCTTTATTTCCACAAACCTTTCTTTAAATTTATTTTCATTAAATAACCACCCCCACCAAAAAAAAAAAAAAATTAGGAACTGGTGTTAACCTTTGCTCATTCACCTCTGTGTGTCCCAGGAACTAACTTCCCCCCAGATACCAGGCTGTTTGGTGATGAAGTGATCTGGTTAGGCAGTGTTACCTAGTTAATCACATAACAAGAGCAAAACAAATTAAATCAGAAGGCTCCAGCATGTCAAAACAAAAGCAAACAAAGAAAATGGCTCTATAAAAAAAAAAATAACGAACAAACTATGCCAAATTTTATATGAGTATATAGCAGCT